CAGGATCTCCTACATCCCTTCCAAGCGGATGACAGTGGTAGCCAGGCACCATCTAGTTTTTCTGGTCTCATAGTTGTGTAGGTTGCAGATCGGATGGTGTACCAGTCGCTAGGACTGTATTTTTATTTTTATGATACTGATTATTCTATTAAGAGCTGCTTTGAAATCAGAAGGAAAAACAACATAGGTTTCAAGAGTCCCCAGCTTATGCTATCGGTTATGTTCTATATGTTTAGAACTGAAAACTCACTTTCCTACAAAAATAGCAGTAGAAAACACATTCTGGGCTTACAAAACAAAACAAAAAACCAAACTCACTGTGGTTGAGTTGGATCTGACTCATAGTGACCCCTCCTTGGGTTTCTGAGGCAGTATCACTATGGAAGTACATTGCCCAACCCTCATTTCGAGGAGTGGCTGGTGGATTTGAACCACCAGTCTTTTGGTTAGCAGTCATATGCCTTAGGCAGTATACCAAATAAGTAGGGTGAGTGGAGCAGGGAGAGAATGATAGGAAGAGGCTAAGTTTTAAGTTTGATCATAACTCACCAGGTTTGTTTTTGGCTGCCCTGGTGGCTCAGTAAAGAGCTCTGGGTGGTATACTGGATTTGCCTGCTAACTGGAAGGTCAGTGGTTCAAACCCAACAGCTACCCCACAGAAGGACGATGGGGCAATCTACTTCCTCAAAGATTTACAGCCTGAGAAACCCAACGGGGGATTGCTATGAATCGGAATGTATTCGATGGCATTGAGTGAGTGGCGCAGTGGTTAAGCACTTGGCTACTAACTGAAAGGTTGTTGTTGTTATGTGCCGTCGAGTCAAACCCGACTCATAGCGACCCCTCCTTGGGTTTCCGAGGCAGTATCACTACGGAGGTAGGATTGCCCAACCTTCCTTCCGAGGAGTGGCTGGTGGGTTTGAACCGCCAGCCGTCTGGTTAGCAGGCAAGTGTCTTAGCCACTATGCTACCAGAGCTCCCAAATGAAAGGTTGTTGTTGTTGTTATGTGCCGTCGAGTCAGCCCTGACTCATAGCGACCCCTCCTTGGGTTTCCGAGGCAGTATCACTACGGAAGTAGGATTGCCCAACCTTCAAGGTTAGTGGTTCTAAATTCCCCAGCTACTCATGGGGGAGAAAGATGTGGTAGTCTGCTTCCCAAAAGATTTACAGCCTTGGGCAGCCCATTGAGCAGTTCTACTCTGTCCTATAGGGTGACTATGAGTCAGAATCGACTCCAGGGCAATGGATTAAAAATTTTTTTTTTTTTTTTGGTTTTTGGTACAGTGAAAGGAAGGAAGCCCGAGTAAAGAATTGCCCTATTGGCCTCCTAGAACTACAATTCCCAAAATGCCACAGTTCAGGCTCCCCCGCCTGCTGCAGCCTTCTACTCAGAGCCCTGCTCTACCTGCTGCGAGCAACTGCACTTATGGCTTCTCCTAGCAAGGCAGTTATTGTTCCCGGGAACGGTGGTGGGGATGTGGCCACTCACGGCTGGTATGGCTGGGTGAAAAAGAGGTTGGAACAGGTAAGAGAAACACGCCTCCCTGCTCTAGGAAGTCAGCCTTAATTAAGCAAGAGGGGAAGATGTGAGAGAGGGAGGACTTAAGTTTGAACGTGCTCCTCGTCCCCAGCAGTGCCCATTGTGTTATTGTATCTCTCCCCTACTGCCTTTTCTTACACTCTGTGATTCCTAGAAATAGTGGTTGAAATTTTGGTTGGTACAACTGCACAGAAGGCTTCTCTGTGAGCTCAACCTAGTATTAGCCTAGACGGTACTACTGAGATCAAGTCCTGCCCCCCCGCCTCGCCATATCCGCTGCTCTTTCAGATTTGGGACTTCCCCCAAATTTTCACCCTTCATTGCTCCTTGCCTCAGATTGGGGAGAAAAAAAAAATCAGTGTGTAGTATTTAATACGTATAGAGGATATATGATGTAACATGTGTGAATTATGAAGAATAATATAATGAATACCACCAAACTAAGATCTAGAACATTATCACCATCTTTGAAGACAACTGTATGTCCCCAACCCATCTTCCTGCCATCTTGAAAGTTATTTGCTTTTCTTTTTTAAAATTAAAGTTAAAATTTAATTTTAAAGGATGTGTCCTTTAAACAATTCATTGCTTGGCTTCTTTGTGAGGTTTATAAAAATTGCAACCTTCTGTACATTGTCTTATGTGACATTTTTTTAAAAAATTATTTTCCATAACCTGGCAATAATATTATTCATGGGTTGCCTTCTTAGAGTAAGTTTCTAGATCAGAATTCCAGGGTTGTTAATGAAAACAAGGCCAGAGCTGCAAACTGAAAGAGCAGGGCTGGGACAGTCAAAAAGGATGGAATTTCTACTTCCTGTACCATGTTCAAAGGAGCTCTGGTGGTGTAGTGGATAAGGCACTTGACTACTAACCATTATTAGGTCAGTGGTTCAAACCCACCAGCCTCTCCCCGGAAGGAAGCTGGGGTGATCTACTTTGGTAAAGATTTACAGCCTCGGAAACCCAATGGGGGCTGCCTTGAGTCGGAAATGACTTGATGACAGGGAATTTTTTTTTTGATACCATGTTCTGTATCATATGAACCATTGTGTACTTGCTTCTTGGTATGCAGTATGTTTGCCTCTAAGCCAGTCTGTCTAGACTGACTTACACCTTCTTTATAGATAGACGCCTGTAGTGATAAATGTTGTTATGTGCCGTTGAGTTGTTGAGTTGACCCGACTCATAGTGACCCCTCCTTGGGTTTCCGAGGTGGTATCACTACGGAAGGAGATAGCCCAACCTTCCTTCCGAGAAGTGGCTGGTGGGTTTGAACGGCCAGCCTTCTGGTTAGCAGTCAAATTCTTCAGGCACTATGCTACCAGAGCTCCTGTAGTGATAAATAAAGAGGTACAGATATAGAGATCTACAGAATTGGCTAGATATAGAGCTACAGACAGATGGAGCTTATGAGGAGGGATTTGTATTCATATGTAATCATATAGCACTTAATCCATTCATTTCACAATTGATAAGCAAATACTAACTGAATTGGTAAAGATACTAATCAGGTGTGTCTCAGTTCTTGTTAGTATATTATTAGTTGTAATAAGCTCTTTATTATAGCTTTTTTTCCCCTTCATATCATAGATACCTGGTTTCCAGTGTTTGGCTAAGAACATGCCCGACCCAAGTAAGTTTAAACTTGTTTTTAAATAGCCATCTTGTTAGGTTCTCAATCTCGCCATTTTCCTGATAAGGAACAGGAATAGCATAGTAGCAAAGCTAAAGGTGTATGTATCACTAAGAATGAATAAGGGCAAAAAGCTTGGGGAAGAGAGTGTCAAACTGAAAAAACAAAAAACTCTTAAAGAAGTAAGAAAAGCACCTGGGCTTGTTAAGTTGAATTTTCAACTCTACATGTAGCTTAAGTTTTAGGCAACTTTCTGAAAATGTGTGGGTGTTCTACTTAGGGCAGAGATATGCTACAGGTTTACAGTGCCTGTTTGCAATCCTAATATTTAAAAATGTACTAACATAACATTGCCACTTTTGCCCTAGGTTTGCCTGTATCTTGTCTTGGGAATTCCCTTTTTGGGAAAAAAAATATATATGTACGTGAGTTGTAGAACAGTGTCAGGGTTTTTGATTGCCTGTTTTAAGTTGGAAAGTTCACATTAAAGCCTCACAGTTATTTTCTCTATTTCCTTCGTAGTTTCTTAAAAGAACATGATAAAAACAAAAACAAAAGTATATATCAAAACTACAGATTTGGACCTTCCAAACCCTAACACATAAATCTTTGGCCCTGTTAAAACAGCCCATCTCCTATTGTGGGCCTGCAGTTTAAAAAGTTGTAAACTGCTGAGTGGTCCTGTTAGGAAGGTGGGCAGCATTAGAACTAAGATTGTCCCTATCAAATTACAGCCTCTCTTCCTTACTTAAACCTCAGTTACAGCTCGAGAGAGCATCTGGTTGCCCTTCATGGAGACGGAGCTCCAATGTGATGAGAAGACCATCATCATAGGCCACAGTTCTGGGGCCATTGCTGCCATGAGGTGCGATCCTGGTTGAGTTGCCATCACTTGGATATACTCTAACCTTGCTTGCTTGGGAAATACCTTGTACCTACCTTAAATTTCTACTGCAGAGGAAACAGTGCTAATCTCAAAAGTGGTAGCATAATCTATCCTAATACCTTCCACGGACCGGGCAGTATTTTACTCTGTTGTACATAGGGTCGCTATGAGTTGGAGGTGACTCGACTGGTACCTAACAACAACAAAACAACCCATCCCTTCCTTGGTTGGTTATTGGGATGTAGCCAGTGTGATCTTTTTTTTTTTTTTAGGATTTGGGTGAAGATTTACAGAGTAAATTCACTTTTCATACAGCAGTTCACATATACTTTGTCTCATGTCATTGACCAAAATTTACAATGCAGCAGCTCCCCTCCCACTTCCTCCCCATAGTTACCTCCTCCCAGTGTCCATCCCTTCATACTCTTCTGCACCCTGAGCTATCTCCCTGTGCATAAGCAGGCCTTCCTTCTCCCATGATTGTTCTCTCCAGGGCATGTGTCTACTTGAGGTAAATGTTTAACTCACATGCCTGTACTTTGTTTGGCTGGAAACCACAGTTGTGGGTTCAATTCCAGACCTGAAGGGCAACTAGGGGCCATAGTCTCAGTGGTTACACCAGGCTCTATTGGACCAGCAAACCTGGCAGTGTGATCTTTTTAAAACGTAAGTGGCTTCAGGCTCCAGTGGCTTCCCACCACCCTCAGAAAAACTCCCTGACCTTCATACCCCCTCCCTTCAGCTCTGATATGCCAACTCTCCAGTTTATTGGCCTCATTGTTCCTTGAACATGCCAAGGACACTCCTACTTTAGACCTTCACTTGCTATTCTGTCTGGAACATTCTTCCCCCCAGATAATCTGCATGGCTATCTCCTTCCCTCTAAATCTGCTCAAATGTCACCTTATCACAGAGGCCTTCAGTGATCACTCCATATGAAACAGCAACCTTGCCACTGGCTGTAGCCCCTTACTGTTCTCTATAGTACTTATCACCATCTGACATCCTTTTTACTTGTTTGTCTCCTGCCAATGGAATGTAAGTTTTGTTTTGCTCCCTATGACACTGAAACCCCAGTACCTAGAAGAGTGCCAGGCATATGGTAGGTGCTCAATCAATATTTGCTGGAGGATGGGGACTGTTACCCCCCAGTTTTCCCCACCCAGTCCTTAGGATTCATGGGCATATCCATTAGAACATCATTTTTCCCACTTAGCCTTATAAGGCCTGGGAGGTAGGTACTTAGCTAGCTGAATATGCCTGTTAGGGTGTGTTTCTTCCATATTTGCTAGGTTGGATGACAAAGGATTAGTTTTTATCTGTCCCAAATAGTTGCTCATGATGTCACATGAACTGCATGTCAGAATCTTGCCAATTTCCATAACCATTCAGCCACTCTAATCCAAGCTCTAAGAACTAATACACTTTTCAATTTGGCACTACAAAATATGGTGTCGTCATAGTGTAAGTAATATTTATAAGCTGCCAGGGTTGTCAAGAAAATGAAGATGAGATCCCTTTTTACCTAAAATCTGTCCCAATTCAAGACCCCTGAGCCTTCTTGCATGGCTGTCAGTAACCATCCAAAGAATGGACTTCTAAAGTTAGGTAGGCAAAGAGGTTAATAGATGTCAAAACCATCAGTATAAAGTTGCAGGGGAACAGGATATTGAGAGTCCCAGAGTATTACCCCACAGATTACTTATTCATCACAACATTATACCTTTACAATTGAGAAATCAGATACCACCTTTAACCAAGTGATCAACTTTAACCTCACCCATAATGGGATACTGGTATCATGTGCCCCTGATGTGATGGAGTAGAACACAACATCTCCTATGTAGTATTCATGCCAAAACTGGTAAACCTCAGTCTAATCACGAGGCGTCAGGAGGTGGTGGTAGGCAGGGAAGTTCCCTGGAGGAAATCCAAAAGCAGCTGCCGTACACAGAAGGAAGGGACTGAAGAAAGAGGCGAACCACTCCAGGTTGCATAAGATCTAAGATTTATAACAGGGAAGAGTTACATACAAGGTGCAGTCCTGGGCAGCAGCAGGACAGGTAGATCTCTGCACTATTCCCCAAAGGTCCAGAGATTATATAGAGGTGCTAATGTACGTTTGTCACGCAACCCCCTTCCCTCAAGTCCACATTGTCCAGATGTTATCATTTGGATCCAGGTTCAAGAAGGTTATGTTTCTTGCATCAAGGATGTTATGTTCCTTAGCTTCCTACTCATTTTCAGGAATAGGGTATTTGTCAGTACTGTGGTCAGCTTCAGGCCTGGAATGAACTTGCAGGTTTTGGATCCGTCACATCCCCATTTGTCCTCCCAGTATGAGGAAAAGTCAAGACAAATCCAGTTTAGGGGACAGTTTACAATATAACTAGATTAGATGCTTAAATAAAGGTCAGTGTCATTTAAAAAGACAAATTTAAAAAAGTTATGACAACCAACTGTAATACATGGTCCTTGACTGGATCTAGGACTGAAAAGAAAGTTTTAAAGGATATTTTGGATACACTAGGAGAAAATATTATAGTATCAGTGTTAATTTTATTTAATGTAATAATGGTACTGTGATTATGCAAGAGAATAGTTGCAAAAACGGCAAGGAGGCCACATGTTCTGACCTCCTCTAATCTCACAAGAGGAAGACAGCAGTAACCCAAGGCCTATTACTGCAAGGCAAACATGCTGCCTCCCTCCAGCCCTTTCACCAACCGTTCCTCCCAAAGCACCCACCACCTCTCTCCTGGGTTCGATAATT